ATAATACCTTCCTCTTCTGATTTGGGAGCCGGCGCTGTCTCAATTGGAGTCGGCACGTTGGAGTCGGCACGAGCAGCTTCTGGCACGCAATCATCCAATGCAGCAGCTCCTGATACGCCATCATGTTCATCACTGGCCTCTTGGGGCCTTGTATGTGCAGCAGCAGCGCTGATGCTATGGTACGGTATGCTCTGCTCTGGTGATGGTATTGGTTCTGGTTCGAGGCTCGAATCCACAGCGATGATTTCGGCGGGACTGTCAACTGGCCCTGGTCTGCTCTGCTCTGGCGATGTCTTTGGTTCTGGCTCCGGGGTCGAATCCAGGTCCAGTTCAGTCTTGGCAGGACTGTCAAGCACGTCGATCGCACTTCCACCTCTCGCAACAGGTCGGCCGCCAGCCGTCTCAAGCCCGCGCAGCGGCCTGCTGGGCGGCTCTGGGGATCCCACATCAGCCTGATCCCCCATCCGGTCAACTTGGCAAGTGGTTAGCTTGAGCAGCTGAGATGGCAACAGATTGGCGCATGATCCCACCAGCCCTCTGGGCGCACGTGGTTTAACGAGTTTTGTCATCTCTCTTTCCACAAGTGGAAGGGTTTACCCCTCCCTCTACCCCCTCCCCTGGGCCCAGGAGGGGGGGGGCTGAGGCGCGAGAACCTCAAGATGGCCCAAGATGGCTCCAAAGAGGGGCTCCGAGACCCCAAGATGGCCTCCAAAATGGCGCACGACAGCTCAAGATGGCTCAAGCTAGCCTCCGATCACACCTCCAAGAGGCCCCAAGACAGCCCAAGACGGTTTCAAGAGCCGAGCCATCCAAGGACCACCCCAAGAGGCCAACATGGCTCCAAAACTTATAAGGAAATCATTGTTTTTGGCGTTCTCGCCTTTTCGCTTCCGGCGGGCCTCGGAGGCTTCAAGATCGCCCCAAGATGGCCAGGGCCCCAAGAGCGGCCCAAGAAGGCCCCAAGAGGGCCCCAAGAGCGCCCAAGAGCGCCCCAAGAGGGCCCCAAGACGGCCTTTTTGAGCCTCCGAGGGGGGGAGGGTGATTTGATTACCCCCATATTTTGAGCCACGGGGCCCAAAACAACCCCAAGAGACCTGAGGTCTCTTGGGGGCCCGCCAAAGAGCCCCAAGAGGGCCCCAAAAGAGCCCCAAGAGGGCCACAATATGGCCCCAAGAGGGCCACAAGACCCCAAGAGGACCCCAAGAGAGCCCCAAGATGGCCCCAAGAGACTTCCAAAACCTCTCACCGCAACACCTCAACTTGCCAGGGCATCGTTGTTGGATGGGCTGGTGGGGACACGCTGTCAAGAAATGCAAAATCTTGGGTCTGGTTCTGTTTTGGGCTCGGCTCCGCTTTGCACAGTAATTGGCTCGGCTCATAGCGCGAAGGTTGCCATTCGGCTGAGTTTGACAAGGGCCAGAAACAGCAGCGCTGACGCCCCAGTTGCAGCGGTCATAGCTTGCAGATTGGGAAAAGGGGCAGGGCGTTGCCAGCAACAAGATGTCACATGTTGACGCGAGCGCACCTAGCTTGTCTGCGCCACATCCCTCTCCCTCACCTCGTGCACCCCCCCTCACTCTCCAGCAAGTCGCCCCTGGTGAACAGGGGATGGGGGATGGAGGAGGAGAAGCAGGAGAAGGAGGGGAAGGCAGAGGGGCAGGTCCCAAGAGGCCCCAAGAAGCCGAAGTCCCAGGAAGCCCCAGCAGGAGAAGGAGCAGGAGGAGAAGGAGGAGGCGAAGGAGGAGGAGGAGGCGGAGGAGAATCAGGCGAAGAGGGAGGAGGAGGAGCAGGAGGCAGCAGCCAGCAGCAGGAGGCAGGAGGCAACGCTGCAGCCACGCCCGGCCAAGCAGCTGCAGCTGCAGCCGAGCTGCAGGGGCAGGACCGCTTCTTTTTTGCCGCCTCTCTCTCTCTCTCTCTCTCAATCGTCTCCTCCCCAGCTACAGCATAAGAAGTCTAACCTGCCATAGCCTCCTGGGCGTAGGCTAGAAAGTTGTTTCTTCCAACCCCCCTCTTCCCCTTCGGACGGGTTTACTCCCGCCTTCTGCCCCCGCCCCCTGGACCTGGACAAGGCCAAGGGTTTCGCGAAGGGCTGAGTTTCCAAGATGGCCCACGACGGTTCCAAGAGGAGCTCAGAATCGGAGGTGGCCCCCAAGATAGTTCATGATTCGCGATCGCTCAAGATGGCCTCCAGGTTTTTCCAGGAGGCCTCAAGACCACCCCAAGACAGATCCAAGTGGTGAGAGAGCGGCCCGAGGAGGCCTTCTCCTCCTTCCTCATCGTCCTTCTTCTCCTCCTCCTCATCCTCTTTATGTCTCCCTCCTCCATGGCCCATCCGCCCATCCATCCATCCCCCCCTTCCTCCTCCCCCTTCTCCTTCTCCTCCTCCTCTGTCTTTGCTCCTGCACTTTTCCTTGGGTGTCATTTCTGGAATGGGCTGGCAGGGCCGCTACGCGAAGCGTCAAACATCTTACTGCCCCTGGCCCGGGCAGTGCTCACCATCGTCCTTGCGAGTGTCTTGCCCAGCATTCGCTCTCTCATGCATCAGTCGTGCCTTCCTTCGCGCCTCTCTGGCATTCTTCATATCCAGGAACTGGCGGAACTTGATGCAAGCCACCCCATCAGCAGCATCAGGAATGTACTTGTACTTCATCACATTAACGTTTGTGGACGAAAAAAGCCAGGCCAGCATGCCAGAATCAATGGTCCCAGAAGACGAACTGGCTGCTGAGGGGGGCGCGCGCTGCAGACCAGTCTGGGGAGCAGTTTCCAATTGCGCCATATCTATAAACATTGGGCTTGATGGCCGCTTGATCGCCGGGCAACGATGCCCCACCTCGTGCGTCCAGTCGTCGTGCAGAGGCACCTTTACTCTGCCCCCAGGGGAGAGGAGAGAGGCAGCCCGCCTCCCCTGAGGGAGGGGATGGGAGAGGCAAGCCTAAGGGCACAAAGGGAGTGAGGGGATGACGACGACCACGACGACGACGACGCCTCCCCGGGAGCACCTTCAGAAACTCATCATCTCCAGGGGCGCTGCTGCCGCCAGCTGCGGGGCTGCCCGCGGCGGAGTTCTGGCTCATGGCAGGCCCCGCGGCCCAGGGGATGGGCAGGGGGGAGGGGGGGGGAGGAGGACAAGGAATACAGAAGAGGGGGAAGAGACACATGAGGAGGAGGAGGAGGAGGAGGAGGAGTGGGACGGTGAGATGGGGAGGGACACGCAGGACAATAAGATTGCGATGAGAGAGGCAGAGGCAGAGGTGAGGGATAAGGAGGGGGTAAAGGTAGAGGGAGGAAGCAAAGGCGCAGTAGGAGGAGGAGGAGGAGACGGGCTAGAGGGAGGTGGCAGAGGTAGAGGGGGAGCGATGGGGGGTCTGTAACTTCGGCGCAGCAGCCAGGGGGCAGAGAGGCCAGGGGGAGGAGGTCATGAAAAGGGCGAGGAGGACGAGGAGGCCACAGCTCAGGGGCACGCTCAGTGCACCAGCAGCTGGGGGGCACTCTCAGTGCGCACCAGGGCCACCTTGGGCCAACGCATCATCGCGAGGCCACCCTCTTCCCATCATCATCGTCATCATCGTCATCGCTGCCCTCATCATCGCCATAATCGTCATCGTCGTCATCGTCATCTTCGTCATCGGCATGCCTTATCCTTGTCATCGTCATCGCTGCCCTCGTCTCAGCCTTATCCTTGACCTCCTCCCTGGCATTATCCCTCTCATCATCATCTTCTTCTTATTGCCCTTCCTCGTCATATCTTTTCTTTCTCAGCTTCCTCCTGTGCCCCCCCCCCAACCTCCTCCTGCCAATCCCACCCTCTCTCCCTCTGCTGCCCCATGCCCCAGCCATCTTGGCGAGCAGAGGCGAATGTCGCTTCAGCTTTTCGCTTGGGCCTTCTCACAAGACTCGCGCTCAGAAGATTGTCGATTCGAGCGCGCTGCGCCAGGCGTGCCTCCCCTACCTCCCCCCCTTATACAACTCCGTCCCTCCCTCATCCCTCCACTGCCAGGCGGCGATGGAAGAGGCGACGCCAGCAGGACTGGCGCAAAGGGGGAGTCTCAACCCCACTGCACAGATCCCCAGCATGCTGAATGTGTCGCCCTAGTGCGGGAGGGCAGGCAGGCAGGGAGGGGGCATTCGGCAGGCAGTGGAGAGGTTAGCAGGGAGGGTTGGCAGGCAAGGAGGGGGCAGCGGGCGCGAGGAGGTAGGAAGGCTCTTCAGCATAACACTGTGCACCGCAGGCTGCAGTGCCACGCTGCACCTCTGCAGCATAGCAGTCAGTCTCCCTTATCATCCCTATCCCTATACATTTCCCCATCGTTTCCCCTTTATATAAACATAACACAGCCAGTCAGCTGCGTCCCAAAAATCGCGAGCTCCAAAATCTAGCCAGCATGCTGGCTTTTGTGAGCAGAGCTGGACGTCGAGGCAAACAGCCTCCCAATCGAAAATGACTCACTCACGCCGCGTTGCCGACAATGACGCAAACCTCCTCTTTCTTCAAGGTCACGCCCCCCTTGAGGTACACCGCAGGCTTCGCCGGTTGGAGCCCCTCTTAAGCTTTATTATTGAATCGCCCCCTTCACCACTAAGTTGGCCCACCCAGAAAGGACCCAGAGCCATCAACACCCCAAGGCCACAATCCCAAAGAAATACAACATCTAGTTTGTATTATGATTATGTCGATTTGCCAACGCCTAATTACCTTCTGAGTCCAGCGGCAGTGCCACAGCACCCTGATGTGGGGGCTCTCGGCCCACTTGGCGAACGGGGTCTTCAAGCAGATGCTGCCGTTGTTGAGCTTCTCGGGGGCCTCCCCCAGCACGAATGACACGCGGTGCGTCAGAGTCAGGGTGAATTTGCGGGGATCCTCTGGGTTGCGCACGATGTTGTGGTACGCGCACTTCGCCTCGGGCTTAGTTTTCCACTGGTTGGCCATCGCCTTGCCCAGTGTGGTCACGATGTTATTGAGGACGATCATATCTTCGTCGCTCTCCAACTTGAACTCCCAGCTGTTCAGCGGCGCATCGGCATCCTGCTTGATCAGCTTGAAACTGCCAGGGCCGAAACCGCCAATCTGGTCATTCGGCGTCAGGCTGAGCTCGGTGTCGAACCCATTCATGAGGCAGATCGTGTTGGCCGAGCGAATCTGGAGCTTAATGATCGGTTCCTTGGTGCTGACATTCGCCTCGAACAACAAGGCCTGCTTGATCTCGGTGGCTGGAACGATAGTGGCGCTGTCAATCTGAGGATTGAAAAAACTCCGAAGGCCAGCGTGCCACTGCGACCAATGCAACAACACAGTGGCCACCAACATAACATGTACAGCTTGAACCGAAACAGAACAGGAATGCCCGAACAAAACATAACATCGGCGGCAACAGCAACGCCCCCTGTCAGGAAAAGGTACACATTATTGAAAAGAGAACCTTCGCCTTCTTCAGCGGGGACAACGCAAGCTCGGCACCTTTGCGGCGCTGGTTTCCAGGGGGCTGCGCACCAGAAGCAGCGCCCTCCTGAACACTGTGTGTCTCGCAGAACTCATCGAGCCACGTCTTGAACCCAGCGGCCACGTCCTTCTTGGCCAACCAGGTGTCAACAAGGGGCTTCGGGATCATCAGTTTGTCCTGAGTTCGCGCCCCACCCCCTGCCAGGGAGAGTGGAGAGAGGAGAGAGGAGATACAACAAGGAGGGAGAGGAAGGATATTCAAGAGGAAAGAGGCGGAGGGAGTGGAAAGAGGAAAGAGGCAAAGAGAGAGGAAAGAGGCGGAGGGGGGGAGGAGGCGGAGGGAGGAGGAGGGATATTACAAGTACACTACTACTACCACCAGCAGCCCCCCGGAGGAGGGGGACACTGATACCATTGCAAAGCTACGACTACTACTACTACTACTACTACTACTACTACTACTACTACTACTACTACTACGACTACTACTACGACTACTACTACGACTACTACTACGACTACTACTACGACTACTACTACTACTACTACTACTACTACTACTACTACTACTACTAGTATGTCTACTGAATTTGTACAACCGTGTCCAATATTACCCCTAACAGAACACTAGAATTATCAGTGCCATTACTGCTACCTTTTGAGTGGGAGGAGAAAGGAAGGAGGCGGCAGCGGCAGCAGCGGAAGCCTGGGGTCAGGAGGCCAATCAGAGGGCTCGCCACCAGGCGCAGCCAGAGCAGTCACCAGAGCAGCAGCATCGAATTTGTTTGGCAGGTGATTTGTTGTCGATCGTTTCTCTCTGGCCTTCTCCTCTTCCTCATCTTCTTCATCCTCCACCTCCTCCTCCACCTCTTCTGTGACATGTCGACGAAACGACGTCGACGACGACGAGCGAAGGGTCCTGATCGCTGCCGCCCAGAATCAGGTGGTGCATGGTCGGCTTCTCGGGCAAGGGGTCGGAAGACTCGTTGATGTCCTGCGCGGGGACTTAACGGGGAATTGGCAACGCTCACCCCCTTGGAGGGGTTAAGCTTTGAGGTTGAGATTTTTTTGGGGGGTGAGGGGTCAGGGCCCCCGCCAGGCAGGAAGGGTTGAGATTTGGGGCGCAATGCTTTGATAAGAAACGGGTCCCGAATCTTGGCGCCAGGTGGCGGTTTCAGTTCCTCGGAGTCGTAGAGGGCCACGAGGTGATCCTTCAAAGTCGCCTGGAGCCAGGTCAGCTCCACTTGGTCATCGCACACGCCAAAATAGAATGTCGAAACCGGCAACGAACTCCGAATCGCGCACCAGCCCAACAGGATGTCACCAAATCCCACCAGCCCTCTGGGCGTAAGTGGTTTAAAAGAGTTTTGTCTTCTCTCTTTCCACAACCCCTCCTACCCCTGCTCGGGGGAGGGGTTTACCCCTCCCCCTACCCCCCCCCTGGGCCCGGGAGGGGGCGGGGGGGGGGGGCGAGGCGCCAGCGCCTCCAAGATCGCCCAAGATGGCTCCAAGAGGCCCCCCGAGAGCCCAAGATGGCCTCCAAGATGGCGCACGATTCAATGCGGTTTCAAGTGCCCGCCGAGCCCTCCGAGGACCCCCCCCCAAGAAGCCAAACAAAATGGCCCCAAGAGGGCCCCAAGAGCGCACAAGAGGGCCCCAAGACGGCCTTTTTGAGCCTCCGATGGGGGGGAGCTGAGTCCATTACCCCCCCTCTTTTGAGCCATGGGGCCCAAGACGGCCCCAAGAGACCTCTCAGACCCCCCCAAAGAGCCCCCAGAGGGCCCCAAGATGGCCCCCAAAGAGCCCCAAGAGGGCCCCAAGAGGACCCCAAGAGGACCCCAAGAGAGCCCCAATATGGCTCCAAGATACCTCCGAGAACCTCTTGTTGGATGGGCTGGTGGGGATACGCGAAGCGTCAAGAATTTGGCATTGGAATCCAAGATCAAGATCGCCTTGTGATGTGCAATGTTGGCCCCAGTAAAGGTCTGCGTCAGCAGACTGGCCCCAGCGTCTGGTCCGATCTGCGTGAACTTCGCGGCGCCGTGGATGAATTTCTCCCTTGCTGACGTGGATTGCGGCAAGGCTTCGTCACTGAAGTCCTGGGATCAAACATTGCGCTCACTTTGTATCAAAAGTCATCTCCTCGTCCTCCCCTTCTCCTCCTCCTTATCCCCGTCCTCCTCCTCCACCTCCTGGGGGGGCGGAGCGCGCGGGGATGGGGGTGGGCCCGTTCAGTCTATTGATGCCCGCCCTGCCCAGGACGTGAGCATCGACATCTTCAGCATCTTCGATGCCCATCGGATGAAGATCCACGGACTGCTGCAGCAGAGTAGAGAGAGGGGGGGCAGAAGGGGAAGGGGAGGGGTGGAGGGCATGAGGGGCGGAATCAGGAGTGAGGACGGCGGCGGGGGATGGGGGGGAAGGGGGCAGGAGAGGCAGAGGGCAGCAGGAGAAGGACAATGATGATGAGGAGCGGTGGGAGGGCAAGAGGGAGGGGCAGAAGGAAGCGGAGAAGGAGCAGAGGAGGAGGACAAGAGCGAATGGGGCATGCTACATTTCAACAGTAGTCCTCCACGAACTTGAGACAGGCAGCGCCCAGCTGCTTGATGTCCGGGGTACGGCGGTTCTTCCTGAGATCGCACGAGTAGAATGGGTGCTTAGCGGGGCTGATTGGCGATGGAATGACCATCTTGCCAGGGAACATTAAAGGGCGCGAGTCCCGCCCATCCATTTGGTCACTGAACATCAGGGCGAAGTTCGTGTCCAGGTTGAAGGACGTGTCTTTAGTGAGGAGCGTGAGGACCTTGCTCTCTTCGAGGGCGAGCTTCCCAGGACTGTAACAGAAGACTGGCATGACAACCAACCCCACAGAGTCCATGTTGTCACTCAGAGACCAGTTGAACACCTGGAGCTGGGCATTCTGGCGCGCCACCGAAATCGAGCAGGGTGCTGCCCAGTTCAGCATTGATACCTGGGCTGCAGAGAAAATGGTTCGAGAGGCAGCGGCAGCAGAGCATAGAGGGGGAGGGGGGTGGATGCGCAGGCAGAGGAGGAGGGGGATGGGAAAGATGAGGAGGGAGGGGAAAGGGAAGAGTGAGAAGGGGGCGAGGAGGTGGGGGATGGGGAACAACAGAATGCCACCGGAGAAAAACCCTAATCAGATTTCTGTTGGCGCTGCAGGGCTATAGGGCTATAGGGCTATGGGGCTATAGGGCTATGAGGCTATAGGGACATTGGGCGATGGGGCTATATAGGCTAAAAGGCTATAGGGCTATATGGGCTATATGGCTATAGGGCTGCAGGTTTATAGGGCTATAGGGCTACGGCTACAGGGCTATAGGGCTATAGGGCTGCAGGGCTATAGGGATATGGCTATATGGCTACAGGGCTATGGGGCTATAGGGCTATAAGGGGGCTAAAGGCCTATATGGCTATAGGGCTAGGGCTGCAAGGCTACAGGGCGATCAGTCTGTAGCTGTATGGCTATGGGGCCATAGGGTTCTGGGGCTATAGAGGAGGGCTATAGGGCTACAGGGCTACAGGGCTATCAGGCTATAGGGCTATGAGGCTATAGGGCTATTGGGCGATTGGGCCTATAGGGGCTATATGGGCTATATGGCTATAGGGCTATAAGGATATAGGGTTATAGGGCTATAGGGCTATAGGGCTAGTGTGCATTTGGGCTATAGGGCTATAAAGCTATATGGATATAGTGCCATCGGGCACCCCCGGGCACCAGGGCACCCAGGCCCAGCCACCGAAATCGGCGGCGGGGCTCACCGAACCATATGAATCCGCTAGGACCCCTACATATGCAAGCTCTGATTGAGGAATGTTGACATGCGAATGCGATTCATATCCCCAATACATGAGGGACGCTCTTGGCTCCTGTCTTGACTGCGATGCAAATGCGTTTGAATTCCAAGATCTCTGCCACGATCTTGTCTGGCGACTCCTGCGCAGTCAAGCGGATGCAGGATGAGATGAAGAGGTCGGCGGCGGCCTTGCAGTCGTTGAGGCGCTCGATCCTCTTCTCCTCTTGGCAGGGGGTCGCCGTCGCTGTCGTCGTCGTCGTCGTCATCGGAGTCGGGGCAGGACAGCACGCAGCTTATGAAGATGACCAGTGTCCTGCGCCCTCCACACCTGGGCCCCCTCGGCAGAAGCCAGCTTCTTCATCCAGACTGTGAAGGCGTTCCTGTCGAAGTCCAGCTGCTGGATAAGCAAGTTGAACTCGTCGATCAGCAGCTTGTCTGCTCCAATAAGCGTCCCCTTGCCGAGCGGAGCATTGAAGACGTGGTCATCGCATAGTAACTTCAAGCTCTGGATGTTCACCTCTGGCCGGAAGTCCTGTCGTCGTCGTTGTCGTCGTCGTCGTCGTCGTCGTCGTCGCGATGACGATGGCAGCGCGTTAGTGGGCCATGCTGTCCTCCACTTGGTCCATGAGCGCCCCCTGCAGCTCCATGTCGATGTGGTCTGAGCCTGACTCCCACGCATTGATGAAGCACTCGACAACCTTCGTCTGGGGCACTGGCGTGTTGGCGGCCATTTCAGCGGCCAGCGCGTGGAGCAAGGCGCTGTGCGTGGCCAGGATCTCGATTTTCGCGTTGTCAAGCTTCGCCTTCTGCACCCCGCGGGACTGGCAAGCGCGGGCCCTCTTCACGGCCGAAATCATACTCTCGGGTGTCGTCTTCAACCGATTCATCCATGCCTTGTTCTTGACCGTGAACTGGAAACCCGGGAAGAATTTTTTGTTGGCGAGGTTATCGTCTGACCAGCAGGCGCTGTCCCAGCCGACC